CTCATTATATTATATTTTACTTTGCATGGGCTTTTCCTAATACAGAACAATGATTCTGGCATTCACTAAACATTTATTTCGCAATTTTCACACAAATGAGTGGTTAAAAGTGAGAAAATAAATGGAATAATCTGTTGAATGCAACAATTTCAAAGTATTTTAACCTTAAAATGCATAAAACTGGGTGAATTTTATGCAGAAATTGAAGGAAGATTAACGCCACAAGTGCCTCGAGATGCGCTCAAATAGAGTTAAAATTTCAAAAATTTTCCGGGGGAGGCCCCCCGGACCCCCCGCTGACCTGGGGGGTATTCCATACCCCCAGACCCCCCGGTGATGGGGGGCCAGGCCCCCCCCCCAGCAAAATGGCCTAGCTACGCCTATGACTAGGGCATCAATGATTTTTTTGAAAATTGATCTTCGAGATAAAATTCCACAATTCAAAAATCAAGAATAATATCAATACTTGGAGTATACAGGTACCGATTTGTACCAAATACTCAGTGTCACGATGTGCACTGTGTGGTCTTTGTAGAGCCATTTTCGAATCTAATTCTGTTTTTTCACATACAAAAATAAACTGAATTGAAAGTAAGCAAAATTTAAATTAAAATTTGCAAGAATTGCCTTAAATTGCCCCCTGACAACATCCAAAATGTCAAAATTTTCCGGGGGTTGACCCCTGAACGAATGTACGACAGTTCACCGCAGGCATTTCACCGCGCGACAATTCACCGCCGCGACTTTTCTCCGCCACGACTTTTCACCGCCACGATTTTTCACCGCTCCACGACTTTTAAGGGGATTCCGCATTTAATATTTTCACAAATATTTCCTCACACTTATCTCTTTTTGGAGATGTCTCCACAAGCATTGGCTAAAATGAAAAAAACAGCCTCTGATGGTGCATGTTGGGAAAAGTTGGCGCAATGACTTTTCGCTGGCTTTTTCAAAGTCAATCATGACGGTAGAAGGATTCAGCTGTGGCTTCAAATGCAATAAGGCCTCAAACATTCTTGTGTATGTCTCCTCCGTTTTGTCTGGTAGCAACACAAACACAACCGGTAGAACATAAGATTTCCTTTCAACATGAATTGTGTACAGCTGTTCAAATAAATGAGGCGCTGACGAGAAAGTTCCATCGCAAAACCAATGGTCGGCCGAGCACAAGTGATTTAATTTCTCTTCCGTGGAAAATATAAGAATTCGTTTCTTTTCGCTGCAACTATCAAATAATAAAAACGGTTTTTCGTCGACAGTTACTCTGTACTCCTCGGGAATAATCAAGTCTTCTCTTGATTTAGGATTAGGAGGTGCTCCTGTTGCCTTCACGCGAGTTCTCTGCACATTTCTCTTGATAGACGACATTTTCGGCAACTCATTAGAACAAAAAGTAGGAAAATCAGCTAAAGCTGTGCTGACGACACTGTGGGTAGACTCCCCTGTGACCTTTGAATCTACCTTGAGTTGTGACATGAATTTCTTGGCACGTATTTTTGCTGGATCCGGTGGATGGTTGTGAGTACCGACTATCTGTAAAAATTCCATTTTCCTGGTGCGAAGCCTGCCGCGACACCTTTTACTCCAGTTTTCGACGCACTTCCATATTTCGGACTGAGAAAGTTTTTTCTCAGTGCTGTATAAATACCCTTTATAAACAACTTGCTGCTTTCCTTTAGAGCTATTAACAAATTCCATTATTGCACCAAAACTTAAACACCTTTTCAAAAATTAAAATTTCATCAATAATTAAAATTTACCATACTAATAAAATCAATTGTTGAAACGAACGACGAGAACAAGTTCTGTAAAACAACGCACTACACACATTTCAGTCCGACAGTTAATATCGGACTGCGATGAGTTTCGTATCACGAGAGGTCATTTTGCAACCCTTTCGCATCTCTTGGGTTTTCCCTAAGACCGCTCAGGTAGACAAGGGTCATCCACCTTTGTTTACTCCCTTTCCCATTCTCCTTTCTGCACTGCCTGGCATTGTGGCGGTGAAATAACGTGGCGGTGTAAGGTCGGAGCGGTGTGAGGTCGCGCGGTGGACTGTCCGCGGTGAAGTGTCGCGCGGTGAAATGTCCGCGGTGAACTGTCGCCGGACGCCCCTGAACTCCCCGTTACCTAGGGGTATTCCATATGCCCAGACCTCCCTGGTGGGGGGGGGGGGCTCG